GGTGTTGTCGGCCAAAGCTTAGCTATCAGTAGAAAATGTTATAACATAGCCCAACATATGCAAATCCTGTTCCGTTGGAAAGCATTTTTAATGTTGTGGGTCATGCTCAGAAGCAGTTTGTATTTTTGTGCGGATATAACATAATGGAACTGATGAAGAATATCCATAACTTAACTCACATACTCGGAGGAAAACAAGAAATGTTGAAGAAATACGTTAGTTGAAATTGAATGAACCGGATAAAATAAAAACATTCTGAAATCTTCAAATATATTCGCCGATACACACGTGTATGTTAATTCCGATTTAACTGTATTGTAGTTGGGATGTTATGTGGACAAGCCTTACATTTTTGTTTTAATGCCGAGATAAAGCCATTAAAGGATGATAAGAGATATCAAATTGACTTGGAAAGACTTTCTCCGTGTCTACTAATGTTCCCTTGCCTTGCCGGTTAGAGTGACCAATGCAAAGAAAAGTAATTAATCAATCTCTGAGTCCTCCAAACTATATACGCTATGGAAACTATTTGGGTTACCATGGTTATGACGCGAATGAAGCACACCAACAAACCGGTCGTTGCCTGAATGTGGGTGATGAACCCATTTATTTATTCAGATTATATGTAGGGAAAAGTGGAAGCCTTGCAAACCAATTAGAAAAATGACAATCATAGATAAAAGTACATAGACTCAGGTAACGTGTAAAAACAGTCATTTAGCAGGAAAAATTCATCATTGACAACTATTAAACATATAGGCGAAGTAACTACAGAGTAAATAAAATGATTATCAATCTATCAGTTGCAAACAAACACAATTATCCAAACCCTAAAATACTAAGTTTACCTCTCTTGTCCTTTCTGCCATGAGATGTAAACACATTACCCTTTGATGAGGTGAGGTTATGTAAACTGTGACATTAATAACTTTACAGTACATGCATATAATAATAATAAACTTGTTTTTTTTGTACCACATTATATTATATCCTGAAAGCATTTTAAAAGTATATTTATGAACATTACGTTAGATTCACTCTGTACTTAAACAATTGTTATAATTCAAATTGGACTCTAAACCGGTATCCATTAGTTAATCACAATGCGACTACAACAACAGTACAACTAGAAACACACCCTCTAGCTTCCCAGATCACAAAATTTGACCTGACAAGAACAGTCTGCTGACCTCAGATTGATTGACCAACTGATTGACAGACCAAACGTCCATGACAGTTCACTTCACTATCCATACCTATAATAAATCATTAAAAGATTCTTACATTGTATAGAAAGTGGTTACTCATCTAATTCGTTATACAAACAATATAGTATTCCCAAACGAAAAACAAATCAATATGCATACGATACCAGCGCCGAAATTTGCACACTTAATATAAAGTATTCAGTAATACAATCCGAACAAACCTTAGCCTTCACCATTAATTAGCCTTAAACACACATGCTGGTATGATATTCCTATACATGACCATATAATTATAAAATGAACCACTATCGTAAGTTTTTAATGTACGCACAAAAGTAAATCACATGCTGTCTAATTGGTTATAATTCCAAATCAAAAACAAAACTCTAACACCAACAGTCAAATATAAATTCGAATACTCTCTCGTCCAGAAATCGTCCTTATCTTCATTTTCTCAATGAGATCTTTTTTTCTCTCCAAGCGGAGACATAAAAACATTTCATATACATCTATTCAATACCTTCAACTTTAGTTCGTACATCAAAGTTTTCTTGAAAATCAAGGAAATCAACTTACTTTTCCCCATATAAAACAGATGAAACACAAAACAAGGCAAAAACTCAGAACACAGCACTGCGCACGTAATATTACCAAACCGTTACATGATCCACTGTGCGTGATATGCACACTGCTAACCGAAATATCCCTCCTCTCCCGGTTTAAATACAGAAACCCTCTGAATTAAAACAACAAATATATTTTTAAGAACCTTATCTACTCATTTGAACAAACTATTTACAGTGTATGTCAAAATATCAATGTTTCTGTAATATTAAATCATCGTAGAACTCATGACGGTTATTTCGAATCATGCGCAAAACTCTACTTATCACGACTACTCTAATCTAAATATCCCTCCTCTCCTGGTTTAAACACGAAACACCTCTGAATTAAAACAAAAAGATATTTTTAAGAACCTTATCTACTTATTCGATCAAACTATATACAGTGTATTCCAAAAAAGGCGATTCTTCCTGTATTAAATTGACCATTAAAATGTCGAAGAACCGTGACAGTTATTTCGCATCTGCAAAACAATGCAGACAAAAATACGTGCAAAATATATATAGTGTACTCATTAAAGATTCACTATTATAATCTGCAGACTTATGCATATTTATCTAAACTGAAAAGTGTGATGTGATATTTAAGACATATTCACTGGAGAGAAACCATGTAATCTGTAAATATTATGCACAAAAATTTAATCTCTACAGCTAGAAGTGATTTCATTTGAAATATATGTTTCCATTATAATATAAAGAATAATGTAAATGTACATGTATAAAAGATAACAGTTCGTCCAGTAACGCTAAATTACATCACTAACAACAATTGATTTGTTGGTTAGTTCGACATGGCTGCTAGGGAAGCAACCAGAGGACCGACTGCCTAGAGTCCTCTCCGAAAAACTTGGCAATGAGTATTAATGCCATATCAAAAAGTGCTTGCGCGTCGGTTTGGTTTAGATATTTGGATCTCTCGGTAACGAGACAATTAATCTACCACTGAGCCATTGCAGATTAATTCCCACAGTTAAATTTCGATTACAAAATATTCATGCTAATGAAATATACGGATATCAGGCACACTCGGTATATTATGGACTTGCTGCATTGAAATCCAATTCCATGTTTGTAGATATGATATTAGACATGAAAAGTAATACTTATAATTAATATTTGGAATAGATTATGTTGAGTTATTTGCACTCTGACGAAACTCGAGAGGCTGGATTGTGGTAGGGCAAACGTTCAATTTACGATCAAAATGAAAATCAGAACTGTGGAGAATTATACACCTTTAAAGGCCCACTGCACTACTTGTAGCTACTTGCGTCCTCTATATATCAAACAATGCCTAATCGGGGACCATTGGTCACCCATGATCCTCTTTTTCTTATGTTAACTGAGAGCTGAGTTGATGGGATAACCACCTGTCCAGTGACCTTGTAGGGCGGTCTAATCCCTCCTGTAAACTATGGCAGATAAGCTTTAAAGCTTGTTCAGATATGCCACGGTAAATAAACGGTAAGCGGTAAATGAACGGCTATCTAGAGCGCGTAACAAAGATGACACGCGCGGTAACGTAGCTTTTTGTTATGTGAAGCGTATTGCACTCATGTAATCAAAAATATAACCGCTGTTTACCGCGTCATACCTGAACGAGGCCTAAGTCGACTTCAAAACATGATTATATGTAAGATCAGGGAAATAAATTTCTAATATATATATTATCATCGTCAAATGCTGTACACATATGAGCTATTGTTATGGATGGATATAAAATCCTCAACAAATATCTACAATTCAATTTTAAGCGTCGGTATTTCCCTTGTTAAGTACTATAATATCATGATATTTTACGTTGGTATAATTGGAAGACCTGGTTATTCCCCTTTACAATGATGCTACATTTATAACGATTACGTAATCATGGAATGTGCAGTACACGTGGATATAGGGCCAAGTCGAAAATGTGTTGAAAAATGCATTGTTATTGTCAACAGTGAATTCCTCATTTTTGAAGGATGTGTTCAGAATGATAATCTCTCAATCAGTCGATCATCTATAAACACATTTTAATTTCCGAAAGAAAAACAAATTGTATTTTTATAAATGAAAACCTCATCAAAATCATTCAAGAAAAGTTTTCTTCTCAAAGAATAAGAGAATACACCATTGACATTCATGCATGTACGCATCAATATGTCGTTGTCCATAACCTGAAGAAGCCTGATGGGCGAAACGTCATTTCATCTTTTGAACAGAGGGTCAAAGTCTGAAAATAGGGGGCTTGATTGCCACTGCTTCATTTTTTCAGAGGTCTTTCCAAATTGTTAGCGAAATCCGAAACCGGAGGAGGCGTCTAAGACAGCGGCCCTTTTATGGAAGAATTGTATTTTTAAATTAAAACTCTAAGGAAATCCTATTCCAACCTCGGTTTGGTTTCATATAAAAAAAAATAGTTAAAGTATTTGCAAGTTTATACCAATTTCAACAGCATAAGGATAGATGACATCGCCAGTTTTGTTTTCATTGGGAATGATTTTTTTCTCAAAATTGAACTATATAAAAAACATTGTTTTCCATATATTGAAATCGGGGAGGTTTTTTCTTCTCGAAACGTTCCCGGAATGAAGTAGAACAACTATTGTAAAGGGAGAGGCTTATATCTCTTTTCGGTGAAAATTTATAGCTACCCAAAGTTATTGATTGGCCACAAAAACGAAATATGTGTAGGCTATCAACTGTATGCATATATGTATATTAGTGTATTGAGGACATGTTTGGTGTGTTTCTATCTGTTTTTAAAGATTAACCTTTAAGCCCCAACTACTTGTACTTACTTGCTCCCTCTATATATCAAACAATACCTAAACAGTGCCCGTTGGGCCCCATAATCACCTTTTTCGTATGTTAACTGAGAGATGAGTTGATAAGATAACCATCTGTCGGTGATCACGCTGGGAGGTCTAATCCCTCCTGGTTAAACTAGTACAAGCAGGCTGTATTAAGTAAACCCTCAACTCACCATGAAGTTCATGTCATATGATGGATAATCAAATACCTTTAAGTTGACATCAATTTCATGGAGTAATGGTAGTTTGTTGAATATATTTTGTTTGCTGAATTTGTTTAAGCCCCTCACCCCCCCCCCCCCCTGCCCCCCGCCCCCACAAAAAAATTAAAAAAAATAAAAAAAAATACATAAATAAATTTTTTAAAAAATTAAAAAAATTACTAGTATATCGGTATTTTAACTGTACGATGGTAATTGGACATTTGTCTTATTATAGTTATTTATTGTAGTGTTTTCGTCGTATGCGTATCTCCTCCGTCGCAGAACATAATCCACTCATACATGTATAACAATTATGCGTACATGAGTATTTATGATTGCGTTAAACACATTTTATTCCACACGGCTTACTCTTTTAATACATGCTAATTACAGTGAACAATTAACCCCGCCAGATCAGCTGCTCTCAGAACTTCATGTAAGTCAGCCACACTACGGGTTGATCTATCCATCCAATTCGCAAGGCATTCTCTCGTTGCCTTCTCATAGTCGTTGCTATACTTATCGACGATATTTCTGGCCTGGTTTTGCTTGATTCCAAGCTTTTCGCTGAACGTGTTGTATTTTCCGCTTGGAATTTCCTTTGCCAACTTATTTAGCATTTCGTCGCTCACTTCCCTGGTTAGATATGAATATATATATATATATATACATGAATAAAGAAAAACAAATACATATTGTTACAAAACCTACGTTTTGTTACGGGACTGCGTGTTACCGCATTAAGTTAAATCAATTAATTTAATATGTATCCATTTTGGTGCAAAGTTATCATTTATAATTTCGTTTTTGCCATACTAGGCACCTTAGTTCTATTTAGTTCAATTATCAGGCTTGCAAAGCCTTTAACAAACTAAAATTGGGGGCAATTTCAAATCCATATTTTCTATAGAAATTGTTATGTACTCTTAACTAAAAAGTTCGTGGATCGTGGATAAAAGTATGTATCGCAAGACATGTGCCTAGCTTACAATTGTTACTCATTGTATTACACCATAACTAACTAAAAATAAAATATTTCCCTTTTACTTTATAGCACATTATTGATAGACCTATTCTGAAAAGGTCATTGTGTGAACATAATGTATAATCTGATAGGCAATTCAAACTATGAATGATATCGTATACCATTGATATTGCAACAGGATACATTCAGTTTATATCAATACTCCCCCAAATTGAATACCCTTTATCTATACATTGAAGCTATGAATGAAATGACTTCCTTAACTTAAGATTTGACTAAAAGAATAACAGTAAATTTGGATTAATAATAATATGAATAATATGACAAGAGTGAAATGTATCTTTCCATTTCTTGGAGAAAGGTTCATCCTGATATTAAGTTGGTTTTTAATAAAAGCATAACAATGAGTAAACAAAATGATTTTGTGTTAGTTTGCCCAATACACAATTAACAAAATAGAAAAGTTATGAGTTTCTGAAGTTGACTTCAGTGTGAAGTATTTTGCGAAATCATTTAAACTTTAATTGTGTGTGTTATTGATGATGAAATCGATTTGTTTCAAGAAGGGGTTACATGAAAACATATTTGCAATACTAATACTTAGAGTAAATGTATGATTGAACTTTTTCTTGAGGCAAAATATTTATTTTTTAAGTTTGTTAAGTTAAAGTAAAACGGGAGGAAAGCTCGCAAGATAAGTCACAGAGTTGTCAATTTAGGTTTGAATGATCGCACCTTAAACGAAATCATAACTTTGTTATTTTGTATCGGTTTCAGCTTAAATGTTCACCGATCATTTCTGTCATTTTCTGCTTAGACCCTTTTGTTCGTTTCTGCATGGTCGATCTACGTTCTCTGACTTGCTCAAAATGTCGTAATTTGGTCAAAGAATATCGACTACGTTGAATCTATATCTGGAAATGGACGATGTAATTTCGTCGAATTAAAACAAGCTTATTTTGCTTTATGTGTTTCCCATCTGATTCGTAACGGGAATATGCCCATACACCTTCGCCACTAATCAGAATTGTAGTCAAAATGGGCGTTCATATAGACAATGTACCAGAACGCAAACAAATAATTGTTTGTACCGTTTCGATCTAGGCTGGCATATAGTTGATATCTAAGAACAAAATCGATATTTTCCCCTAATATTCTAATCAAGAATGATTTAAATGCATATTAGCGATTATAACAAAAACCCACCTGGCATTAGGAGTAGTGACTTTACCGACTGCTGGTCCACCTTGAGGAGAAATGTGGACTGATTTGGATGCTGGAGATTTGGTATTTGTCAACTCTTGCGATTCCTTCTCTATTCCTGATTTTAAGAGTGGGAAATTTCGTTAACTTCGAAATAATATGTATATATTAGGTTAATCGTATTGGTTGAGTAGTCCTGTTGCATTAATACGATCAAGTTACACACATAATGATTTTGCATGAATCAAATCTGGTTACCTAACCTATATATGAAGAGCTTGATTCCAAAAGGAGCTAAATCCATATTTTATCAAAATGGAGTTATTTGTCTTAAAATAATGTTATCCTACATGGGGACAAAATGCACTTGTTGCATTAATACGATCAAGTTACACACATAATGATTTTGCATGAATTAAATCTGGTTACCTAACCTATATATATATATATATATATATATATATATATATAACTCATATGTATATACGTATGGGCATGATTGATTTAAATTTGTATGCAAACCATGTTAACGTAACGTATGTTTTGTTGTAAAGTTATGATTGCTTTTGTATATGCACAGCTACGCTGTAAAACAACCATATGGCTGAGGTATGCCAGCGTGCTAAACTAAAATAAAGGAAATCGAGGAAACGAAATTAAACGAAACCCTATTATATTAAGTTTTTGTCTCGTTATCTGCTAAAGATCAACATGGAATTCTGGATAGTGAGATTCATTTTTAATTTGAAAAAAATTGTATTGATTAAAGTAAGAATTCCTTATATCTAACTAAATCCTCTTTCTAATTGATTTTTCTGTTTACGAGAAGGACTGTCTCTAATTAATTTCTAATGTTTATCCCCTTATGTCCATTGATATAAGGATAATGGTTACTAAGATCGCAACTATTTTCAAATAAAAAACTGAAAAAATATATTAAAAAAGGAAATAAAAAAACGTGAGGCGATTATAATGGCCTTTTAAAATGTGTAAACAAAACAATGATACAGGGGCGGCGGAGTGTCATTCAACGTGTGGAGGCATACACATAAAGGCAATTCATGAAAGATAAAAATGGACACCTACGACATAAGAATGTAAAAACACATTTTTTTGACATTATTTCAAAATTATAAATAACACATTATCAGGAACAGTACGTGTGACGCGGGCATAATGCCATCGCTCCGGAAGCAACTTTGAACATTGTGAAAATTCTACACAATTAGACTTTTCACAGGATCTCGCCTTCTACACATGAATAATAATATCACAGACTATTAATAATTCCATGAGCAATTAACACATTTCTTGATTTAACCCTATTTACAAAATGTAAGGCCGTCTTTTAATAATAAATCTTTCTTTCACTGAAATAAATATAAACGATTGACTTGATGCAATACATATATTATCTAATATGGAATAGTTATGTCAGAATCCAGCTTGTTCATTTCCAAGAGTGCAAGATAACTCAACAAATTGTGAAATCCTACAATCAAGAAACAATGTAAACAGCTTTCCCAAACAGCTAAAAAGAGTTATGCCTTTATAATTATCCGGAACAGATTGTGCACCTTTGAGAAAAAAAATATATACAAGGTACATCGTTCTTGAGATAGTAATTATTTCCCCTGTGGGCTATGACTTATAAATTGCGTAAAAAACATATAAACGAAAAGGTGAGGGGACTGTGCATGAATTATGATTGCTTTTTACCTTCGAAAAACCTTAACTCCCATGGGTTCACACGCAAAGACAAGTCTGTTTAAGAATAATTATACTCACTAGCGTGTCCACCAGGAGAAGGAGGGCGGGGGGCTGTGATTGCTGCTTAAAAACCAACGGGAAATAAGAAGATAAAGTGCGAGTCACACATAATCATTCCTGAGAATATACAGATTTAAACAAATCGAGATAAACATTGATGCACTCTTCATAACTACTAAAATATTGCACCAGATTAAAAGTTTTCGTACTTTCAGGTCAAATGGTGGAAGGAACTAGACCCAGTTTGCCTGTTTAGGATGTCACTTTCCTACTGGGTAATGACCTATCGGGGAAAAAAAAGCAATGTCTTCTTTGATCCCAAGTAGTGACCCTGCAAATGATGAAATTACAGATAAATTAGTTGAGGTTTGACGTTTTCGATGGCTACGTTTATGGGGGGGGGGGGGGTGGTGTTACACCCACGAATGTAATAACACTTTACCCACAAATGTAATAACGCCCACAAATGTAATAACACTTTACCCACAAATGTAATAGCACCCACAAATGTAGTAATAACACTATACCCACAAATATAAAAATTTCAGCTACAAATGTAATAACCACTTTACCCACAAATGTTATAATTTTGAGTCACCCACAAATGTAATAATGACTTTACCCACAAATGTAATAAATTTAAAGTGATATTTTGTCGAATTTGTTCAAAACTAAAACCCTAATATAAAGCATGGGTTATAGCGCGCAGTCTTTCCTCCAGACCTGGTTATTCAAAGGTCAAAAAATACTTTAAAGGGATCGTTTAACAATGTTAAATCTGAGATACACGGTCCTACATGTTACTAGTGTCTGCGATATGGTGTAATATTAAAGCCCTAAAAAAAATCGCGCTTCAAAATGATCAAGAAGTACATCAAAAAAGTATAATTCGTTGAGTGAACGGTTTTACCATACTCTTTTTTCTCAATAGACTGTAGTGTTATGAAAACCGTTCGGCGAACGGTTTTCAAAATTTGTAATTCCAATCATTAATATCTTGATAATCAGACAGGTGATTGGCTTGTAAAAGTCATGGGGTTTCTGACTGACCTAAAGGTTTATAATTATCATTGCAACATGAGCTACATCAAGGATTATTTTTAAAGGATCTAAGACAAAGTTACCGGATCCCTTTAAAACTAAGACCCCTCCATCTTCCAAATTAAGACCATGTAATAAATTGAATTAAGACATGCTGCAATCACAATTATAAACCTTTAGGTCAGTCAGGAATCCCATGACTTTTACATGCCGATCGCCTCTCTGATTATCGAGATATTTATGAATGGAAATCGAAATTACAATATTCGTTTTCCTAACGGTTTTTATAACACTATTGGGAGAAATGAGTATGGTAAAACCGGTCACTCAAAGATTTTTCTTTCAGGCACTTCATGATCATTTTGAAGCGCAATTTGTTCAGGGCTTCAATATTACACCATATCACAGACAATGATAGCAATTAGGGCTATGCATCTCAGATGTAACATTGTTAAACGATTATTTCTTAAGCATATATTCAAAGAATTAGTGAAAGAAGTAGGTGACTAAAGGCTGGTAAGAGATAAAATTAAAAATATACATTATTGCGATTTTGTGAAAAAGAACTTATATCTAGTTTCAGTAGGCCCAGATAAAGTAATGTGAAGATTATTTTGAGGGAAATTACATCTTAAATTATTGCACGGAATTAAGTATACAAATTCTCACTATAAATTCAAGTGTATTGATACTAATGTATGTTTATTATGTAAAAGTGAAGAAGAAACGTATACGCATATTTTGTATACGTGTACAATTATTCGGAAGGTATGGGAAAGGTGAACTACTTTGTTTGATTGTGTAAATTGGCGAACATTAAACTGGGTACAATTCGAAATAGATTCACCCGACAGAGGAAAAGGACAGTGTCTGAACAATGTATTATTAGTAGTAAAATGTTTGCTGTTTCTAAATCGGAAAATAACATATACCGCCAACAGAATATGATATTATAAACCAGATTGAACTACATATAAACAAACAGGTTAACATTTCCGCGTAATTCCTTAACGCTTCACCTGACAAGGTTGGAAACATCGGCATGTGAAGTGGTTGTCACGTAGCAATTTTGGAAAAGGTTTGTTTATAAGGCTCGGTATTGTTTTTGTTTGTATGTATCACTTTAAATTGGGATACTAATTTGGTTATTTCCCTACTGATTTTGATTATATATTTATGTGTGGGTACTAGATGTAGCGAGACGACAAAATGGGTTAACACAAATGATTAGTAGTTACGTGTATTTTCCACATGAGATGACCTCTTACTCTCACACTCACTGTCTCTAAATGTAAAAGGCCTAAAGGCAATATTTTTGTTTTCCAAATCGCAAATCAGGTAGTTTGGGAGATAGGAGGGGACAGGACAGTGTGGTAGCAAGGGGGGTGTGGGAGGGAGACTAGGTTTGTAGGGCAGGGTGTATGGGGGGGGGTGCTATTTTGATGTAGTGTTTGTAATTGTTATGTTATAAAAATCAATTATTTTATATGTAACACACTTTTGTTTTTTCTTCTCTCGACTATGTTACATTTGGTTCATTGAGTGAAAAATGAAATACTTTCTAAAACAAAACAAAACCGGCGAAACTATCCGAGAGTCAATCAAATCAACGTTCCTATGGAATCAACCACTAATGGCAAAGTTACAATCAATGGTAAGGTTTATGTAACGAGACCCAGATACGTACCAGCAAATTCCGCACGGAATGCATGTCCTTCGTCACAATGGGGATGGAAGATGAACTTAACATCTACATCTGCATCACCGGTTGCTTTTACTAAGAAAGTGACAACGTTTCGCTCCAATCGATAGATATCACTAGTCGATACGATCTGATTTTTTAAAAAGGAAACACACACACAAAATAAGTAAAACAAACAAAGGAAAGACTTTCAAGAAATCAACCAAAGATTGATTTGAGTAACCTATTGCATTGCATATATAAATGACGGTCGGATTACTTTTGTAAATGTAAATGTATGATGATATTACGTTGACCTCGATTCCATTGAATCCTGTGGAATCCCGTTGAACCACGAACATAAAAATAACTATAAATAAATGTAACCACATTCCACAAGTTAATTACATAGTTGCTAGATTATCTTGTTTTGGCTACGACGGAGGCATTGATTTGTTCGTATGACATGGTTTGTTTCGAATGAAATTACCTTTTCGCATTGCATTAGTATGACATTAATATTGGGGGAAATGAATAACGAACTATGTAGCAAAAGTAAACAAAATACTGAAGAGTAAGGATTGAGAATCCGAAGTTTGTATTGATGATGGGTCATTGCTTAGCCCCACCCCCCCCCCCTTTTTTTGAAGATGTAAAACGATCGCTCTTGCATTTTAAACCATGCGTTCTGAAATTAGCCAATGTAAAAATTGCTCATGTACCTTTTCGTTCTCGGTGACATGACCGCTGGCGACCTCGCATCTGATCTTCAGTTCGCCTTTCTGCCAGAACACGAACAATGTCTGTGTTGGAGCCATCTTGCAATAACCTAAGCTTTCTTCCTCGGTTTTGATGAGCTTATTATATCGATTTTAACCCGCCAAGAAATAGAAAGTGGGAAAAGGGACGAGGGAAAAATTGATTAAATTTGTTTGCCTTTCTACCATAATTACATCATTTTATACTGCATTTACTTTTGAAATAGTTTCGCTTTATTTTGAAGAAGATACATCTAAATTATTCATACCCCTTGTAAATGTGATACTTTTGTGAAGTTCGTAATTCAAGGATAACAGTTTGAATGGTTGAATAGGACCTTTGTTGAATTCGTTTGGATGTAATCTGTAATATGTCACAGTCACAAGGAATATAAATCGGAACCAATAGCATGTTCACATATTTGAATAAAATACAATTCTGCTTAAAGGTAATACAAAGCTTTGGGAAATTTTGAAATTGGGTGGATAGTGATTCTTTACCATTTCGATATATTTGGATGCCCTTGTGGATGTATTATAAGCACTTGAAAAATTAGCCCTAAAACACTTCTGCTTTCGAGAAAAATTGAATATAACAATTTACCGGTGCTCCCTGTAAATTTTGATAAATTGCAAAGAGCGCCTATACGGCCGTACAATGTTAGCTACGACCATAAAAATCTCAGAATATGTAGTTGTGATATATAATTTCCAATCGGGAAGAGCTAATCGGTCGATTTTAGTCAAGAAACATTGTTTTATAGCTTGTTAATATATTGACCTTGAGAGGGAGCTATACAACATAACAAGTTTATTATTTACAATTTCAAAACTTTAGACTCGTTTTCAACCGCGACAACGATCACTTAATATTGTAGAATCACAATTGCCTCCATTATGTTCTTTTGAACCAAATTCATGACCCTATACCAAAACTTTGTATTACCTTTAAGGGTAATAATAGTTAAGTAGTTAACTATATATATGTATATATATATATATGTATATATATATATATATGTGTGTGAAGCAATTATAATAAACCCGGACAGATTTTCTCAAATTAATCAAACAGCAGGAAAACCCGCATACTAAAATGAAAATCCTTTTTTCTTCTCCTTTTCTTTTAATTTTAATTATTTATTTGGAAAAAAAACAATTTGAAGTGTGTGTGTAGCTAGAAACAACCAAAATAATGATAAATTGTTATTTTCATGTCATGATTAATTGTGCAAACCTGAAGATAAAACATAGTTTTATCATAACTTTATCAGAATGAATTGGGTTACTGATTATGTTTTATTGCTGTTTTATGATGAATTGATCTTCACTCCTGGTTACTATGCAAAGTAGACACATAAATTCCGACAGATGTTGTAAGAAATTTGATGTCACATTGCCCTTGTTTATGTTGAGCACTGAAAAGTATTATTCGGTGTACATACGGATGATATGTTGGTCAAAACACATGTGCATAGTCTCAATCACCACGATGCTAAAGAAATACAGGGAAAGATTAAATTTATTTTGTTAATGATTTCATTTAAAGAGGACAATAACTAAAGAAAACAAGTTGTACTCAAATAAAACAGTAACTTTTACAACGGGGCCTGAAATTGTCTCTTCAATACGAAGGCAGCATAAATGAGAACAAAATTGTAATCAACTATAATTGCAAGGGTGTGCAAAATACATTTTACTGAAACTGTTACTTTGTATATAAAGCCACCCTGACACTTGCACGAAATTTTGTTCCCGCATTGCCCCGCATTAAGGTGTGCCAGTGCGTGACATTAGTTGCACGATGACCGTGTATCGTTCGTGGAATGCGTAAAAACATGATGTGCATTGTCCCGTCACGTTTACGACATATTTACGTCATACTTACGCCATACTTGCGTATTTTTCACGCCATCATTCACGCCATGTCACAACATGCTTTCAACCTTTCTAGATCACGTATTGCGTATGCGTAGACCATGCGCAAGGAATGTGAAAACTGTGCGAGAAGTATGCGCAGCGATGCGCAAATTATGAGGAATGTATTCGTATATCCGTCGTGAACTGGTCGTAAACATGCGTGCCACTTGAGCATTGGCACGCACCGGTTAGTACCAACACGGGTAGAATACGTTTAGGATACGCACATTTCGCGAAGTTTTCACCAAAGTCGTCCATCAAATTTGTCGTGCCAACATTTTGAACATTTTTGACAATTATTTTGCTACGAATTCAAGCCTTGTCCCGCATTGGCCCTCATCCTACCGCATGTTCCGCGAACGCTTCCCGTTGTGGCAAGAACGTGGTACGAAACAATGGGCAAACCATGCGTGAACCAAAATCGTGCAAGCGTCAGGGTGCCTTAAGACTTTAAGCATCATGGTCATTTTCTCTTCTCCATTTTGTATCTGTTAATTGGAGAAAGATTTCGCAGATTTCGCAGAGTAATGGATATGGTATATTAATAAATAATAAATAGGCATATTTTTTGCCCGACTATAAAAAGGACAACTCCTCCCCCCTCCTATAGGTATTGGAAAACAAGTGGTTTATCTCTGCATATAGGGGAAAGCGGCGGTATTAATTTCCCTTCCAATTTTCCTTCCCATAAACAAATACAAACATATAATAACGATGATAATAATGATGATGATAATAATATTATAAATACTAAAAATGCTGATGATAATTATGAATATTTGTATTACAAGTATTACTACTACCACTACCACTGATGATAATAATAATAGATTATGAGCGAGAAATGGAGAGGGAATAAAATGCAACATGAAGTTGACAAAAGAAGATGAACATTAAAATAAGAATAATAATAATAAGGCAAGCCCCTTCCAAAACCTCACCCATTTAATCAGAATCATCTCAAAAAACAGCTTTTGCTATTTATCCTGAATTCAATTTTTTTTCAATATTATAAATGTTGGCAAATTACTCACATCTTGAAGACCAGGAGTATCATTATACAGACGTAGATGGCAATATTGCGATTGGAGGCGACTCATTGATTTTGGAAGGTAGGGCGTAGAAGCGACGCGTTTCCCAATGAAGTACTCAGAAATGACCATAAACACTTCCCAAATTGAGAAATGGTCAATGTACACTTCAAGGTCATCTTTTCTTACTACGCACCTAGGTGTTCCAGTTGATGATAGTACTTTATTTGCGACTGCAAAGGTGCGTAATATGTACATGGAGAAAAAGTGAGGGGCATTACAGAAGATGAAGAAAAACAAAACACCCATTATCATTAGTCTTCATTTTAACGAATACAGTCCAAGAGTCATTAAACAGGTCATTATGTACATATGTAGACCACTATGCCATGTATTCAACCTTTCATTATTAAACGGAGTTTTTCCAGATAAGCTAAAGAACGCTAAAGTAACACCAGTGTTTAAATCTGGTGGCAAGCGCGAATTAACAAACTATAGGCCCATTTCTGTACTGTCAGTCTTCTCTAAATTATTCGAGCGCATTGTTTATAAAAGAACTATTGAATTCCTTGACAAACATTCTATTCTCAATAAACATCAATATGGTTTCCGTAGGGATTATTCAACATGTATGGCTCTTTACCAGTCTTTCTAGTAAAGTCATAGACGCATTTGATGCGAACGAATTTGCAATTGGAGATTTTATAGATCTGTCTAAGGCATTTGACACAATTAATCACAATATTTTACTATCTAAACTATATCGTTATGGAATACGTGGTGTAGCTCTTAAATTTTTCACCAGTTATCTTAACAATCGGTTACAATGTACCAAATATCAATCTTCTATTTCGGAGTTTAGGACAATAACATGCGGAATTCCACAGGGTAGCCTGCTTGGGCCATTGTTATTTATATGTGAATGATATTTATAAATCTGCTGATGAATTATCTTGTATACTGTATGCAGACGACACAAACATATTTCACAGAGATTTAAACTTGAAGTCTCTTATGGATGCAGTAAATGCAGGTCTTGCATTTATATGTGAATGGTTCAAATCTAATAAATTATCTATAAATGTAAAGAAATGTAATTATATGATTCGTCACAATAGAAAGAATGCAGATTTAAATGATTTCAATATTGTTCTTGATAATGTCATATTGCCAAGGGTAGATAAAGTCAAATTTCTTGGCATTTATTTAGATAGTTCCTTGTCTTGGAAACACCATATTCACGAAGTTGAAAGTAAGGTGTCCAAAAACATTGGCATTATATCCAGACTCAAACATCTCTTGCCCAATCACATTCTACGAATGTTATATTGTGCTCTTATACTTCCATATTTTTCTTACTGTAATCTTGTTTGGGCGAATTCCTGCAAGTACAAAATACAAAAGCTTATACTATTGCAGAAGAAGATTATTCGTATAATATCCGGAATGCACTATTGTTCCCATACTGGTCCCATCATTAAACAAATTATTTTCTTGAGATTCAGTGATATTAACTTGCACCAACAGGGTATTTTCATGTATAAAAGCATGAATAACATCTTCCCATCACAATTTAGTGATTTTATCAATTTTAAATGCAACTCGGAAACCCATACGTATAATACGAGAAGCGCTGCCAACATTCGTCTCCCTAAACATAGAACCCGAAGATTTCAATTTGACATTCGATACTCTGGGCCAAAATTTTGGAACACCTTACCATCTATTCTACACAAATCGCTCTCCTTGCAGACTTTTTCCCGTAAGGCAAAAATGTATTTAATTGTTCGATATTGATACCTTCTCTTGTATTTATGTGTGAAATGATCTTTTGTGGAATTTAATGACATGTTTGTATGACCGATTATTTATTTACTTTGATAACTTTTTGCTAGTACCATCTGTATATTCCCAGGACAATGCTGTCGGATAAAGCTGTTGTCTGTTTGATGATTTTGCTTGTTTGTAATGATATGTACTCGCTGTCTATTTTACAATTGTACTTCGTTATTCTTATGATGTAATCGCAGACACAATACAGCCAAATTGATGTAACTTTCTCTTTATAAGTGAACATGCCTTCATATACTTAATTCTCTCCTCTCTTCCTTTCACTATTTTTTCTTTCCTATCAACGTTCTGTTATATGCAATGTAATGTTCATGATAATATCTATAATGTTCTTTCGGTAACTGTGTTAATTTATTATGGGCGTTCCCAACCCAAGCTACGCTTTCCGGGTTTTCGCCTCCTTCCGTATCTGAATTATTTACTGTAAACTCTATGTTGAAATAATTGTTACATATATCATGTATATATACATTGTGTTTTATAATGTGCTGTTGAGAAGGAAATAAATGTTAATAAATGTTAATAAATACAAATAATACAAAATAAATAATAGTAATAACATAATCAACTGGAACAGCTTTAACAATGTTGGTTTCACTGCTAGATTCTGTTCATATCATGTTGCAGTGTATCCTCGCTACGTTTGCAAATGTGTTTACAGTATGTAGCACAAGCAATGGCAGTGTTGTCATTGTCTCAATATTAATGTTTGTATTGTACCCACACTTACTTTTCATTGACTGTATACGCACCGTTTCATCATTGTCTTTCCCCTGTTTTCTAGTGTCTTCACACTGTTTTCTTATTCTTTCCAAACTTTGTTTTTAATCTCTTCACAATGGTATAATAAATTATATACAATGTATTATAACTGTTACCATTGAGTGTTCCCCTTATTGTTTACCTCTCTCTCTCTATATATATCTCGCTCTCTCTTTTCCTGGTAACTACAGTATTACAATTCGTTTCCCTCCCTCTTCCCCGTATGTTTATATTGTCTTTACAACGTGTCCACACTGTGTTTGCATTTTGTCCACACCTATTCACACTTAATATCATTGTTTCCACTAAATGTTATTATGTTTGTCACTCTTTAAAGTTAAGGTATTAGACTTACCTTTCGTATCGCCATGAGTGAAGTACATTGTGACTTTGGCCTTGGAGGGGTCTGTTAACACTGCACAGTGAGGGATGATCAGCTTTAATGGCCTCTCAAACGTAGTCCCCGAAGGTTCACACACTACACAAGGGGAGACAATAGCTTCATCCTCGTTAACACGGACACTTGACGGGTGCGGTAGAACCTGAGATAAATGACAATAAATCGGATGCGTAAGATAAGGAAAATTACTATTTCAATACCAAACAAATTACACTGTTTTTAGTAGGCTAATCAAAATATTAAGCGTCCAAATCAAGTAAAACATAAACAAAACAAACGAGAAATCTAATTCGTCATTTGGACGATTTAAGTGGTCTGTTATTAAATCTAGTGGACGCTGATCATGTTGAGAATGTTCACAGCTACAACATATCAACATTTGGACGAAAATCGATCAATATTTACAGAGTTACAATCCATTTTTCTATAAATATGCTGACGTCATAACATGCAAATTCGTACTTTAATTTCAATACAAATATGATGATGTCATGATATACTTAATGGCCAAACGAGACATGAAATCATATCTCCGACTCATACTCTATCCAAATATGAAAACAAAGTTTGGGATCACCAGGTATCCTGGAGTGCCGTTTACTAATGAATTTAAATTCATGTTTTTCTCAAAGGTTAACATGTTATGGGTGAGATTAGAATACAAAGGGCAAAGGGTAGATGTATAGAAAATTAAGGAACATTGCATTACATCATAGAGGGAGAACAAGAATCAGAGGCGGGAAAGGGAGAGAGTGAGCGAGAAGAAAAAGAGAAGGGCAGAGGCAGAGAGAGACAGCTAGAGCAAGATAATAAGAGGGAGGCAAGGCCAAATAGGTAGAGGGAGGCAAGGCCAAAGAGGCAGAGGGAGGGTAAAAAAGTAGAGAAAGAGAGATCAAAAGAGAGAGAGAGAGAGAGATGCAGATACAGAGCAAGAGAAGGAGGGGGCAGAACAAGGGAGGGGAGGAGAAATAGAGCAAGAGAGAAAACAGAAGAGAGAGAGAGAGAGAGAGAGAGAAAGATATGCAATGGAGAACGATGCATGACATATTTCCAGCTTAAATCAAATTGAATATTTACTCTATAGAGAAGAGAGAAGTTTGTAAACAATTATATGTCAGTGAGAGAGACGTAAACATTGCATATACCTTGACTGAATAGCTGGAAAGAGTGGAAATGTCTGGAACGGAGACTAGCATCGTAGAAATTGGATGATTTGATATTGTTTTACAATTGGGAGATTAACCCTATATATGTTTAATCAATCACAAGGAATCCGAGTTCCTTTAGGGTTATACACTAACAATGGACATTCCTCTCCCATAGCTTTAACACGCAAAGTTAGTCATTGTATACATTGTTGCAATGGCGATCTTCGTCATTGCCTTGTTTTCGTTCACGTTCTTCCAAATTAATATTCTTCTTCTTCCCAGGAAATCGCATTCGTTTTGCACGTAGTGTTTGTTATTCCTAGTTAGGTGCTTTCCTCATGTCCATTTCCGTTCAAATCTCATAGGCATATTTTCTAGCATCTCACCAAGGTCACCTACTTTTTTGATTTTCAAAATCACTCATGCATAACCATCCAGGCGCCATTTTGTCCGTTTCTGGTCCATTTTTAGGCCTTTCTTTCTTCCTTCCTATCTCCATTATCCTAGATCCTACAAACTTCTAATAAATTCCTCTAGATAGTCTAAGAGATGTTCTTTCATCTGCGACAAGTAACCTGCCCTTCAAAATGCCATCTTCGTACTCAAAATTTAAATCCGAAACCGACTCCATCAAACATCTCTCAAATTCTTGAAAAATTGACCCGTATAAATCTAAAACTGCCATAACTTTATCATATAAATTCCGTTTCGTTTTTAAATCTCACCGTATCCTTATCTTACTATTGCACATAGTCATGCTTAATTTCACGCTCCAATATGCAAAACATAAATAGCGCCCTCTAAAGTTCTGGGACTTGGCTTTCTTTCTGTGGCCGTGTCTCTATTGTGTCTTGGCAATCCCGTACTTTTTTTTGGATTTAGATACTTGAACATATGCCCTTTCCAGACATATACAAAAATATATACCCTAATATTGACCAAATTTGAGAAAATTGCTCTCCAAATTCGCCATTTCAAGAAAATCGCGAAATAACTTCAACTTGCTCTAAAATTGCGATCATTATACCTACAACAATGAAACTTAGCAGACACATGTATCAATATACGTGACAACTGTCTACTAAGTTTGGGAAATTTAAATGACCTCAGCGCAAAGTTATCGTAAAAAAATGATGAATTTACTATGCATTACGTAATATCACGTTTAATGCGTGCAAGACATTGCGCACAGATGACAATGGTGTCAAACTGACCGCAATGAAGTGCCCTTTTGAATGATATCAAGTATGGTATATGTTCACACCAAAAAATGTGAGTGAATCGCATTTTAGACACCATATTATTATACTGTTTATGATTATGTTAGTATAGACGACTGTTAGTGCCAGATCGCCCGCCATTGCACGCATATCGTTGTGCCACGATTGCAGGTCTAGTTTGTGATTGTATACGTTATGATATTCAAAGTAAGTGATGAAATCGAATGTAAAACGGACCCCCCCCCCCCCCAATCAAAACAACAATAAAATGACCCATCGGGAATTGAACCTTCGAACCTGGGACAATGATTTGAATGGATGGCAAATGCTGTAAAGGCCCACTGCATTACCTGTAGCTACTTGCGCCCTCTATATAACAAACAATGCCTAATCGGTGACCATTGGTCCCCCATGATCCTCTTTTTCTTTTGTTAACTGAGAGCTGAGTTGATGAGATAACTACCTGTCCAGTGACCTAGCAGGGCAGTCTAATCCCTCCTGTAAACTACGGCAGATAAGCTTTAACCAATGGACCAAAATATTTCGCGTATACTTTACATGCAAAGCTGACAAACGGCCTTGGCATAGTCGCAATTTCAACTTTCATTTGCAAATTTCGACATAATCCCAACATCAAATAAAAAAACTAATAGGTACGTATCCTATAGCCCAAAGCCTTAGCTATATTATATCAAAATTAGGGAGAAAATTGAGCAAAAAAAGCGAGATACTGCTCAAAGAACAATGTCATGTAGATTCATGATATGAACGAAATTCACCTTCCATAGGTGTAGCACGTACATTAAGATAATTCTGACATGTCGCCTTTTATTAAAGTTTTCACTATGATGACGTCATCAATATGACAAATGGTGGGTATTGATCTTGTAGACCAATGTCTTACCTACAATATACTAACATTTAAAAGAAAATTGATCAATATTTACAGGGAGAAAATACATTTTCCATAAATATGCTGACGTCATAATATGCACATTCGTATTTTTAGTTCCAAGGTCATTATGATGATGCCACGATATACTTAAAGACAAAGTGAGACATGAAATCATATCTCCGACTCATACTCTTTCCAAATATGATAAAAATGGGGGTCCCCGTGCTTCCTAAAGAGCTATAATGGATTTTATATAGGCACGTTTTTGCCCATATATGCTAAGTATTACAAGAGCTCGCGCGTACGGACATGTTTCTTAAACGGACGCTCGATCCGTTATTAATGGTCATAAAAAGATAAACATGGTATCAAATTATTCGGAAAACAATTGAGGAATATCATGCCTTCCAAACAGAAGGGATTTATGTCGCGTTCGGCCGTCACAAACGAAAACGCGCCCGCATTTTTTTTAAGTTACGACGATTTTAAGAATTTCTTTTTCTTTTTCCGCGCGCACTGACGCGCGGACGTAAGCGTACCCGCGCTTTAATTGACCTTGATCATGATACATGTTAATGAGAAATGACTTTCTGTTATTAAGTTATGATCATTTGTAATTTTCAGAACATTTCAAAAAATGGCGCCTGGACGACGTCACGATAGTTTGATGAACTTGAAAATGTTCCTGTCACTTTTTTTGATGATGACCTATGATTGTATTAAAATTGAGAGAAATTTGGTGGATGGATTTTGAAAAATCGTCAGCGCAAAAAATGGGGTAGAAATAAAAATAAAGAATAAAGAAAGACAATTCTGACGAAATTATTAAGTGGTCTGTTCGTAACAAACAATAAAACATTAATGTTTCATCATTCATTTTTTTCGCCCAGATGACACCGATAAAACGCCCAAAATAATGTGACGTAGGCAATTGGAGATTGTCCCCAAAACAAACAAAATCACGTACCGAACTAAATAGAGTCTATGGCTTTTGCCGTATAAGTTTGTTGCACGTTTTGATTGTTTTACATGTATGTTCTTTAAAAAGAAAGAGAGTTTAATGTTGCTTATTACATAAAACTGACGAAAGAAATTATACAGATGACATAAATCCATGAAAATTAACACAATATTTAAGTAATAACTAATATTGCCAGTAATCATTCGTGCTCAAATCACACTGACCAACAAGATCACATCAAATCAAACATTGCATAATTCTCAGTGTTTATTTTGTATATTGGTCAGTGAAGGCTTCTTGAAAAATATTTTACATTCTTCGTTGTAAATATTACCTAGTGTCGATTTGTTTTAAGATGGAAATTACTCCTAACTCCATCGTTTTCGGTAATTCTCCATATTCTGGCCAGATTAGTACAAACTTCCAGAACAGTCTAAATAAGATTAAAATTCCTTTAAAAAAAGGATACCAAAAGTGATCAGAAATTCCTTCTTGGTGCATAATAAATAGTCCAAGGTCAACATTGAAGCTCATTTGCTCGATTTTTAGGCATTTGTTCAGGACAATGCAATCCTTTTTCTATCCGTGTATATATACGTACGTACGCGGAGGCCGAGGAGTGGAAGTATCGTGATACCTCCACTTCTCGCTCGGCCGCCGCGTACGTCACTTCTCTGTCGCCGTGGGTTCGTACACACGGTTAGAAAAAGAATTGCATTGTCCTGAAAAAAAAACGCCTACAATTCGACTAAATGAGCTTCAATGTTTACCTTGGACTAGTTATTTTGCATGAAAAGGGTATTTTTGAGCATTTTTAGTATCCTTTTTAGTCATTTTAGTCATTTTAGTCATTTTAATCTTATTTCGAATGTTCTGGAAATTTTTACTTATCTGGCCAGAATCTGTAGAATTACTGACGAAGGAATCAAGACCCCGATTGGCATGGGGCAAGGCGTGTACTATATGGCTGCAGCAACACTGCTCGTGATTGGATTTTCCATCTATACTTTGCCCGGCTCGCCTGTGACAGTGAGGCAGGCATTGGTGAATTTCACCAACTTCACCAGCGAAAACTGGCCCATCGATACCATTAATATCATCGTCACTTGATTCAGACAATGAAAAGTGTACATCCAAGTAACTGTCTGGCCTAATTTCACTCATTTTATGGATGATATATAATTAAAATTGATGATAATATGGCTGCTATCAACCGTCTAGCGTGTGTGAGACGTAGGGTGATGTGTGAATACGGAAATAACTACCCTAATCGCCTACGTCATCATTGAAGCAGCCCAATTTGTATGATTTCGGTTTCGTTTATGGGAGGGGGGGTGCCAATATTCAATACTAAATGTCCGCGTACGTATGATTATGGTAACATATGTGTTTTTAAGGAAACGATATGACACTTTTCACTTTTGTTTAGATCATGAGCTTTCATTTGACATACAATGTCTATTTGAATCAATGTCTACTTTAAGCTTTACGTCTTGCCCTCAAGGAATAAAGTAAAGGAATGAACAGTTTTAATGTTCTCGTTGACATTTAGATGGCGCTCTTCAATCTTATTAAATTATGTGAGCCACATACTTTTTATTTTAATTACAAATCATGACGAGCCCTAACAATTTTTTGATTTATGTCCCAGTTCATTTATTTATTTCGGCATTGTATATTTTGTTTTAGTCGTCGTTTTTTTTTTCTTTTCTGCAAGATACAAATTTTGTTTATATATCAGTTTACTCATCTTTAGAAGTGCATTTTTGTTCTTTTCACATTCTGATTTTGTTCTTTCTTTCTTGTTATATTTTTCAAATACTTCTTTCTTTTTGTTTCTTTTCTCACTCATGAAATCAGTTGTGTTGACTTTAAATTCGAAAACACGACAATATGACCGGACACAAAATAAACAAATCACGCGAAAACGGACTGTGACTAACTGCCAAAAAGTAAACGTAAAGCCAGCCGTTCAATGAAAACGGGCTGTAGCCATGCTAGCTAGAATAACACGAGGGTGCTCACGAACTCTTTCCGTAACAATTTTGTTTTGTTTTTCTTCTCGTATTCAAGTGACAAAACCAAAAAGGTATGGAGAGGGAGAAGGTGACTTTCCCCCTTACGAAAATCCAGACTACTACGCCATAAATTTAGACTAATTATAAAATCATGTTGCAGAGCCCAGTTAAATATATAGAGAGAACGAGAGAGTTAGACAGAGAGATCGGTAATTAGGAAGAGAGAGAAAGAGAGAGAAGCGGGGGGGGGGGGCACCTCCCATTCATGCATTTAGAACGCCCAACAAGGCTACGCCTAAAATTCGGGTTAATTATAAATTCCTCTCGTAGAGATCAGTAAAATATGAATAGAGAGAGAGAGAGAGAGAGATAGACAGAGAGACAGATAATTAGAGAGAGAGAAAGACAAGGGGGGAACCACTCCCATTCGTGCAATTAGAGCGCCCAGCAAGGCAACGCCATACATTTAGGCTAATTCTAAAATTCTCTTGTAGAGCCTAGATCTATATGAAGAGACAGATACAGAGAGAGACAGAGATATAGCGAATTAGAGAGAGGGGGACCACCTCCTATTAATCCCATTATAGCATCAAGCTAGGCTACGCCATACATTTAGAGTAATTCTATAATCTAAGCAGGGCTCCTACTTAGCCGAATTAGAGTCACGAATTGTGGCGAGCTGGTTCGATCTTATGGCAAGCAGTTTTATCATTAAAACATATTTCACGAAATCAAATTATTGATATAAAGAAATATGTTTTAATGATAAAACGGCTTGTCATAAGATCGAACCAGCTCGCCACAATTCGTGACTCTAATTCGGCTAAGTAGGAGCCCTGCTAAACGCTTTACCTTTAGAGTAATCTTACAGTCCGTTTGTAGCGCCGAGTCGGGAATGCAGAGGCTGATTCCATAGTGCCGTAGTTGGATGGTGCCCCCTCTTGAATCAATCATCTTACTTGCCACGTCTGTTCCTGGATATTGACATTCAAGATGTAATCATCACCATAATTGTTTTTTCTGCTTGATAGGAGTTTCATGTTCAAAATTGATATTCAAAATCTGAGCTTAAACTTTGTTCTTCTCTAAAGATGTCTTGCAAGTTCACATACACTCCCTTGCAATATTCCACACAAAGTCTTGTGAGTAGACTAGTGACGGACTTCCGACTATTGTTACGTATGTCAGACTTGATGTCGTTTTTGTTTCCTCGTACTTTTAAAATGCAGGCCCCTAAAATACCAGGTGATATCTGTTGAGGCTGATTTTATAAGGTATAGCTTCACACACATTGTAGTTGTAGGTGTTTGGTACACTTTAAGAATATGTTTTTGTATTGATAAATTGATTGCTTTTCAAGTAATTTCCAAATAGTTCTTGATTACCTTATTTTGATACCTTTTTTTTAAATTGTTTATTGAAGATAATTCAAAATTGGAGATTGCATTTCAATACGTTGGAATTTAATTGAACTAAATGCAAATTACCTTATTAAATATAGGTAGGGTGAAGTGTTTTGTATTAAATGAAAGGTATGTACAATCTCCAAATTGTTTTAATTATGTAACTAATTGGATCAAACAAATTATTCTAGTCAAGGAACTGAAATCCTAATAATAATAAAAATAATGATAATAATACTGATAACATTCAATAAATAAATATATATATATATATATATATATATATATATATATATAAGCATATTATATATGTTATCTTTTCCGGTCGAATTCGCGAGTTTGTCTTTACAATTCATTTGTCTTGAGTTCAAATTCGACGGTTTTGGTGCTGTCTGGTGTATCTCGGGTTCATATTCCTTTTTGTAATTTTCAATTATATGCAGTTTTCGATAGAATATATGTATGTTTCACTCAAATTAATGAACAATGTGCTTCTTTCGCGATTTGGTCATTCGGTTTGGCGCAACACGATTTTCTGACATCGCGACGGTGTACTTCTAGCATTGTAATTCAGTAGTAGCATTCTAATTAGCACATTATGCACCCAAATTTATGGTCAAAATACATTTCTCGTTTATTACACACTTTTTATAGCTCATTTTTTATTTTTAAATATTGTTTTTCTCATGTGTTTTTCATCATATTTTATGTTAATGCATTTATACACGTATAGATTTATATGATATTCAAGAAGAAGAAGAAGAAAAAACGACTTGCAACCACGGACTTCATGGTCTCAATATGTTTGTAAATGTTCATGCGAGGAAGCTGTTTGTCTTATGTTTTATCATACATTTATCATAATTTCATCATAATTTCGTTATGAAGGAATAATACAATATTGTGACAGGGGTAGGGAATAGAGTCACACAATTTGAGCATTATTAATTATTTAGCCAAGTCTTCAGCCATCGATCTGCTTTCGGGCAAGGCATCCGGGGGATATAGGTATGCATTATGCGATACCATCCCATGCATTTCTTATATTTGATGGCGTCAATGTTAATCCTGGCTATACGACAAACGATGTCTACTCGCCACCACTCCATCGTCAGTCCTGCCTGTTGAGCAGCTTACCGGTCGCCTATATCCTGCTGCATATTAGGACGTGCCAGATCCCTCTTCACTGTTGATTTAAATGCATAATTGGCGTTCTCGGTGAAGCTGAGGAACGGAGAGTAGGGAGGTAGGAGCTTAACCTGGATGAGTGATTCAACATCAGGCGAAAGCTGAGCCCTCACGTGTGGTCAGGCGTTGTCGTAGATCAAAACGACTGGTTCCCCTGGAGGGAATATTATGGAACACTGGCGTGCCGTTCCTGCAAGAAAGTCATCGAAGCTGGCTCTAGTAGTCGTCTCGGATGAAACATCGTGGTGCACCAGGCCTAAATCTCCTGAGACAGCAAACGTTATGTTGCTCCTCTTGCCACGCTGTCCATGCACAACTCTTTGAAACGGTGGACCGCGCTGTGCCCTGCCGAAGGATCGACGAGTCCAGATGTTATAGCCGGTTTCGTCAATGAAAACTGTGTGAGCGACCACGCTTTCTGCCAAAAACCGCTGAGCATACGCCACCCGACGATCAACAGTTGTTCGTGAATTTCTTCCCACTGGCACATCTTCAGCCAATTTGAGGGTAATTAACAAACCATCTAGAGCTCGAGATATGGTCGAAATGGAAACTGCTGGCTTATGCAGCAATGCTGCCTCCATTTCTCTATTCATTTTCTCTAACGTGGCAAAAGTGTTGATGTGAAAAATGTTTTGAAGACGAGCACTCATCTCATCGTCTATGTTGTGGATTTTTGCATCTCCCCTTGCCAGTTTATGTCGTCTACCGGTCCGTAAATAAGTCGCCACGATAGATCTGACAGTTCTGGCTTAATGCCCGGTGTATAGGCCAGCTCTAGATAGTCAGCTTGGTGACCCTCGAAAGCTTATATCAGTCGCTCTTGGTCCTCTTCAGATGTGCGCTTATATATTACGTGACCTTCCATGACGAAGTGAAACGGCGAAGTGACAAGTAAACTATGAAACTCTTCTAACAGGGGGATTTGCTGGGTGTAACATACGATGTGAATTACTTTTGTAAAATTCCAAGTCTGTAAAAAAGGGGCGATTGAGGTTAACCCCACCTATCCTGGGTATATGAACATATGTCCGTGCAGAAATGCCATATCCCTTGATTTCGCCCTTTCTTTACTTAATGTCTGACAACACCCATATGCATTGGCCTTAAAATGAATAAATGGAAAAAAAGAATAGACCCCAATGGCAAATCATGCATTTCAAGTGCATTATTTAAAAACTTTAAACGTGTGTTGCGTTTCTTCCCACTAACATTCCTATATTGAACAAACATATTTCGAATACGAATGACATGTGTTAATTTCAATGATAAAAATGACGCCTCGACAAGTGATGACTAATTTGAATGCTAGTTTAGCAGTTTCTAAATTAAATGACATATCTATGAAACCCTTCGATTATATCCACATTTAAATACAAAAAAAGGAAAATGAAATGATAATTGGCATAGCAAAGCCGATCTGCGCTCGCTTAAATGCAAAGTAAATACATTCGAGTGACAAACTCGCGAATTTCGCCGTTAAATATTATACTAATTATTGAATCGCTGTGAGCTGAAATACATTGATGAACGTTTACGTTAGTCAAAAGAATAACATAAAATAAATCCATAACATTTATCAAACATATACGATATTCTAATTAGATAAAGGTGCATACCTACGGCCACTACAAAAAGATGGGGGAAATCACAAATGAGATTAAGAATATTAGAAATATTTAATACAAACATGTTATTTCTGTCAAATCGTGAATGATAATAATGCCTCATTATACAGCACATTTCCTTTTGTTCTTCAAACCACTCTTTGACTTTACACTACTTTCAATACAATTAATATGAAAGAAAAAGAACCCAACTCATTGCTAATGTCATGTGAACTACCCTACATTACGGATAGATTATTACTTTCCAACGCAAAGGCAGAACTAAGAACTTATGCGTGAGACAATACGTTTATCTTTGTTAATTTTCAATGAAGGTGTTTTTTTTTTTTCCTTTCAGTTTTTGTGTAACAATCAGTTATTTTTTGTTATCGTACTTTTGTCTAACTTTGATGATTTAAATAGAAATAGACCTGTTCCATTTTCCCAAACTCTATTTATTGTATGCACGAGATTAAATCAAATGAGCAGTATAATATAATTTTCGACTCATCATTCACTAGTTGTGATAAACCTTTCGCTTCTTATATGTTTTCACGAATTATATCCTCTGTTTTCATGCCTTAATATTTACCATGGCATGTATGTTAACAATTGTTCACCAAACGAATATTAACCATTGTGCACAATTATGCCTGCTTTCAGAAGGACTAAAAAAAAACGTTCATCACTGTGAGATCAATACATGAGATAAAAATTAAATCCATGTCTTCATAGAATAAGTTAGTTTTCAATTCAAAATTGATGATTTGTAGTTATCAAGGATATGTGAAAACATTTTTACAACACCAACTCATTCTTTCGTGGTTAGCTGAAAAAAACATTCATAAACTTAATCACAAGTTTTCAATATTACACATAACGAACTTAAACAGAAAAATCGGGGGGAAATCCCCAACATTCATGAAACATTTCGGACATTCATAATAAGATATAAGGTGCATACTAACCTTCTGTGAACGAAATCGGGGGAAGCAGAGATGAAAAAAGAAAATTGCAAATATACAGAGCAATTAGCCCTTTCGTTCAAAATCGTGAATAGTAATAATGCCCTATTACACAACGCATTTCCGTATTTGGTTCTAAGTGCACTTTTCGAAAGTACATTACATGTATTATTTTTATGAGAAAAAGAACTAATGTGTCACCTCTTTTCAAAATATAATGTGAACGGCCTAACATTACTGATAAACAATTACTCTGAAATGCAACGGCATATTTAACAAGTAATGCGTGTTAAAATTCGTTTTCTATTTCATTTTTTAAGGCAATTTGTTTCTGTACTTGTATACATTTTTGTGTAACGATGAGGCAATTCTTGTCATCGTCTCTTTTTCCATTAAATGACTTCAGTAATACTTGAAACGTTGCATGTTTCCAGACTATAATGTTTAACTGATCTACTAACAAAAACTACACGACAGGTCTATACCAGTAATATAACGCTATCCAATACAAAAGGATCACCCATTAGAAGATAGCTGTTAATGCCAACTGTAAATGCGATATTACAAATCAAATAATAAATATTTGTTTGGTTCAGTTCTACATTACCTAGCTCGATAACCCTTGTGTTCATGAATATATTTATAATTTGTAACCTGATTGATAGCCTTACAGGTAGTTGTTATGCATTTATTTATACTGGGTATGTATGTTTACAATAGTTAAACAACAATTGTGCACGATTATACATGCTTAACGAAGGACTACAAAACCCGTTCATTATTGTAAGATCAATACATGAGATAAAAATACAATCCG